ATTTTGAAAAATTAATTTTTGTACTGCTTAATCTTTTCACCTTAGAGAATTTAAATTGTCATTTTCTTTTTGTAGAACAAGATTCCCAGTTACTGAATCTGCTCTGAATCATAAAAAAAAAAAAAAAAAAAATGAAATTAAAGTAAGACATTATTTAATTAGAAAAGCTTTTAATTGCTTTTATGAATAAGACATTATGGGAAACATTAAGAAAACCATTTTTTTCGATGAATAATGAATTTTTATAATAATTAATTTTTAAAAATTTTAAATTAGAATAATTTATAAAGTTTTAAATTTCTGTATATTAATACAGAAATTGCATTGTTAAGTAATATTTATTAAGTAAAAACTATTTACTAATCATAAATGGAAAAGCTTACTAAAATCCAGTGACCCCTAATAAGAATAGAATTTTGAAATATTTTTTGTGTGCATAAACATGCCGATTTTTGTAAATACAGATGTCCATACACAACATTATCAGAAAATAAGACTGATAACTATAGTAACTTTAAAGCCAAAGTATGTAAAATTCAATAAAACAGATTATGGAGAATATTTTTCTAAATTTTTAAGATTACTGGGTAGTTAAAAATTATGTAAAAAAGGTGCTCACATTATATTCCTCAAGTAATTTTTACAAATACATCACCCATAGAAAAATATTAGATAAACTTCTAGCTGTTAACCCTTGAACACCTACACCCATGTTAAAAATGCATTTCTGTGATATTTTAAACTAAAAGTAATATTTGTTGCAAATCAGATAAAAAAAAAAAAAAAAAAATCCAAAAAAAAAAAAAAAAATCAAAATTCTTTTTAAAATATTAGGGATCACGGAATTGTAGAAAGCTTTTCCATTTATAATTTTTATTAAATTTGGGGCATTTTTTCATGATGGTAAGTTAATTTTTTAGCAAATCAGTGGAGATACTGACAATAATTAAAATTTAAAGAGACAAACATTTCTTAGAGGTATAAAATATAGAAAACTGTGGCAAGCCATGATTATTCATATCCTCAGCAGTAGTAGGTATTAATAAGTTACTTTCTTCACTTCATATATGCCTTCTGTTACACTGTTTTAACTAAATACCTTTAACAATTGGTATAAAATAACCAAGTGGGAAATTTCACATTTTTTTTCTTTTCTTGTGGGGTATAAATTGCTGACAATATGTCTTAGCATTAGATTAAGCAGTACAGACTGTGCATACTTCAGCTATTTGCTTTATAAATAGTTCAATCTGTTGTATCCTTTCACACAGAGTCAATGAGTCTAGACAGGATAGTGGCCTACATAAGACCCACAGAGATAAAAGTTGCTTTTGACAATGACTTTGATTAATTATATCAACAGCAATCATAATCTTAGTCTTATTTACATTTTCATGAAGTACAATAGATTTTTAATTTCATGCCCTGTCATTATGATTGTTTATTTCAGCCCCACTAGTCCCAAATTAATGACTATCATAATCTGATTATACTTAGGATAATCCAGAAAAGTTTTTCCTTTTAAAGTGTGAATATCATAATGCCTTTTGTTGAAATCACTTTTCATCGAGTTCTGGTTAACTTGTTTTGTCTAGTAAAAATTCCCTATTTGGAATATAATGTTTTCATATTTGTGGAAGCAAATCAGTAGACTGTAATTAAAATTATCTATTTATTCATGTCTATTTTCTTTAGTTTTGTTTATGTTTATGAATTAATTTATTTGTGTTGTGAACACTTATTGATTTTAAAATGTTAGTGCAAAAAGAAACCAGCAAGACACTGCAATATTCTCCCTTCAATGTCACTTTGAACCAGAATTGTGAGATGGAGGAGAGTGGTGACCACAGTGGTGTAAAATGCGCTAACTGAATAAGATTAATGATGATTATTACCAGATTTCACTTTCTTTCTTTCTTATATGCTCAAAAACTGTTTTATTTCAATAAATAGAAAAGCATTCTCTTTCCAGTCCTGTAAGGGCTTATCTTGCAACATGAATAAATATACTGTTACTAAAAATTTTATATATATATATATAAAGCCAAAAATTTCAACTTCCTGAAAATTTAAAACCTGTTTGAATCTTATTTCTTAGACTAAAGTGTTATGTATTAATAAGTCCCAAATCTAAGACTATCCAACTGATTATTTTCAATGTCATAGCAATAATATATCATTTCTTTCTTAAATCAATTATTTCCAAATTTAGATATTACAGAACATAGTTAAGCTAGAATCGAGTCAAGATTGCGAAATCAGTTTTTGTTTGTTTACAAGATAAAAGTTGGCCATCATCAACCTAGCAATCAGTAATCTGGTTCAGTCAATAATCTGGCACTATTTTCCACCTTTCTGATTTTCTGGGTTGTCAAATGGAGCTGCCATTATTGCTTAATGGTACAACCTGCTGCATCAGCTGTTTATAAGCACTTCAAAACACTGGTAAGACATTTCTTCTTGTCTTTCATGCATTTTTATTATAACCTGCTTCTTGTGGTATGAACTGCAAACACCATATGTTGTGCATGACAGATAAGGTGGAACTAACATGTATTGATTTACAGGATATTTTGAGGGTAGGCTGAAGTGGTTAGCTGTTGAATTAAGTGTATTCTAACAACCATCAGTAAGCCAGTAAAAATCACTTATCTGGTACCCTACAAGTCCCATTGGTGCAACCTAGATTAGTGATGGCCAAAATGTAATGACATTTAAGGATATTACAGATTGCAATGGAAGGGACAAATACTGCAATATTAAATAGAAAATAGGCAAAAAATCTTTTTACTAGAAACTACAACAGGATCAATATGCTAAAAAAATATTTTTTGATGGTTGTGGAAGAGACAATGATTTAATATAAAAGATGTTACAAAACATCAGAGGTAAATGTGTTAAATCAAAAATAAGCAAGAATGGGATAAGTTTTTTTATTATTAGACAAGTCGCAGTTGGGATCATGGAATCATTGTGAACTTAATTTTCCTTTTAATAGCTCCGAGTAATTCAGGTTTCATCTTTAAAAGAATGAATTGAAAATAAGTAGACTATCAAAATAGTTCATCTTTTAAGTTTCTTTTTTATACATATGAAAATTTGTGAAAATGCAATTAATAGTTATCTATGGTCTAAACATACAGGTTTTTTTTTTTTTTTTTTAAATAAGTTTTGTAGATGAAAAATTTATATTTTATATTCCTTTCTTTTTGCATAGAAATGTGAAAGAAAATTAGTAAATAACATCCTGTCCAGAATATAGACATTGTTATGTGCAACAAAATATTTGAAACTAGCTTAAAAGCCACCCTATTGGGTGGCATTTAAGCTAACTCCTGTGGAGGATTTTTGATGGGCCTTCAACATAATAGGTAGGGAGGATAGGCAACAATAAACTACAGAAGAACTCAAAATTGATCACTGCATTTAAGTATTGCATTAATATTTAAGCTTACCTTTTAAAAAATTCAACGATAATTCTTCTGCTGCCATTTAATTTAAAGACAATTTGATGTACTTTCCATGCAAACAATTATTTTAATTTCATGGGTGACTTCCACTGGATATCACAATTAATTTTGATTATTCACAAATTTCCAAGTTATAAAAATTGCTATTGTTAAAAAAAAAAATATCGCTGAAAACAATTGAAGTAATGAAAACTTGTGAATCCCAAATTTTAAGATCACGGATCTGGATCTGGCCCGGAATGTTTTTAATTTGCTCATGGAGTCGGCAATGATTCCAAAATGGTATATGTTTAGGAGTAAAATTGAAAAAGTGTGACACAGTGACATTGCCATTTATTATATGGGTGATTTGATTGTTTAATGACATATCAACACCTTATGGGTCATTTAATGTTGAAATTTAATTTTCTTGAGAGTTTTGAAGTAATAAAAATATGATATACATTATTCTATTTTCACAATTGAATACATGGTAGATGATACTCAGCCTTTGTGCATATACATGTTTGCGTGAACATTATTACTAGGGTCAGTGATATGTGTGTTTTATGTTGTAGTTTTGTTGAAGTTATATTTTGAAATACAGTTTGATTTCTTTAAGAAATTGTAGGGTATTATATGGATTAATGTCATGAAAGTGTTCTTTCATGTTGATTGTTTGATTTTGTTTGGTAACCTATCAACCTCTATGGGTTATTTAATGCTAAAATTTAAATATTTTTGTCCATAATTTTTATGCTTTCAACTACAGATATTTTGTACATAATTTTATACTTTCAGAGTAAAAGTAAGATTTTATATATATATATATATATATATATATATATATATATATATATATATATAGTTTGTAGATCATAAAATTGTTGGTATTTTACTATAAAAATGTATATTTATTTTTTCAATGTTGCATTGATTATTGTTTTGCTGTAGAATATATTGTTGGTCATTTTATTATAAAAATGTACTATTAAATTTTTGTTGTGGGTTTCAAAATTTGTCCATAGCTGGGATCTTAACAGGTTCTACCACCCTAGGTCAGGGTGTATTTAGGAAGAAAAGCAATTAAGAAGTGATTTCATACTCCTCAAAACCTCCAATCTCTTGATCAGAGGCTTTGTTGCTGGATGTAGTTTATTGTCATACCCAGGATGAATTTGAAATGAATAACAATCAGTAATTATTATCAAGAGAAAAAGTACAAAAAGTAAAATGCTATACAGAATACTTATATATTGATGATTGGAGAAAGTTTAAATTTTGGCATTAAGTTTTATTTCAGTTTGCAAAACAAATCAATGTATGACAATTACATTTCAAGTTCTATAAACATAAATATCAAATTATAAATGACTTATAAAGGAATTAAAATACACACACAGAGAAAAATAATCTATAATTCATTTAAAATAAAGAATCAAGAAACACATTTCATTATTAAAGTTATTCAAGTATAAATGTGAAAAGGAAGAAACTCATTTACAACTTGCAAAATATTTTGGAATAAAATAAAATACTTATTCCACTTACCCTTTCTTTTTGATATTTTTCTTTAACATTTTCTTTTTCTAAAGAAACATCTGCAAAGATAAAAATAGAACTGCATATAAGGAAATGGTAAAAATAGGAAAATTTTAAGTTTGAGTTTTGTTTAAGAATAAAATAAAAAATACAACAAAATCTGTTCATAACAGTTGAAAATACAATGGACAATCAAAAAGGAAATTGAAAAAAATTGGAAAGATAAAAACAAGGAGAGAACTGGCTTCAAGAATTATTAAATGCGCAATAAGCAAGAAATGTGGATTGACCAGCAAGAAAACATTTGGGGAAGTTGATAATGTAAAGTAAAAGATACAGAATATTAAGAACATTGGCTAAAACATGAAATTAACCTAACTACCTTCTTTAACTAAACGTTACAATAAGAAACAAAATGTAAGTTAGTTTTGATTTACTTTTTTAACCAACTTGTTTTACATATATGTTTCCATATTACTGAATCACACACAAAAAAGAATACACCTACTTAGTGCTCATTTGTGAGTGATAGAAGAAGGAAAAAAATGTAAGGGTTAGGGCAGTGTAATTTGGACAAAACACCTAGAATAACATAGCTGATTGCTTTTGGGCAAATGGGTCGTTAAGGCTGACAAAATCCACTCAGATAAGTTTTCTTTTTTATTCCTTATTTGATTTGATTTAAGTGTATTCATTTTTTTTAAATGGCTAAATGTATATTTTGGCTTTTGCTAGCCTAAAAAGCCTGGCCAAATTTTGGACTTGTGCATATATCTAACCATATTTCTTGTACATTTTATTTTGTTTTTTTGTGAAGACAAAGTTCAAATAAAGTTAACCCCCAGCTTGATTTTATTTGAAGGAGAATATTTGAATTTATATTAAGTCAAAACTTAATAGATGATATAGTGACAGTTCCATAATTAACTCTAGCCAAATACATAAAATGAACTGAAATTTGATGCACTAATTATTATTTTTTTTCTCTTCTCCCACTAATAGGAGTAGGTAGGTTTGCCTATCGTCTAGCTCACACTCCTCAGCTGTCTTTCAAACAGGAGTAGAAGTTTACTCCTTGTTTCCTGTTTAGAATTTGGTTTCCAGTTCCATGCAATGTTTGCTTCAGCTCTATATGCCTAAAGCTTGTCCTTTTCTACACTAATATGACTTCACACAGTAAACATCTACCTTGAGTGGCTCTTGGGCCTTGTATTGGGTGAACATTAGTAAAAAAAAAAACAACAAAAAAATGCTTTTCAATCATAATTTTTAGTGATAAATGTAAAGTGATATTGATTGGGTCTGATGGTTTGGTTAGATGCTGGGTTCTTCATGGAAATAATCAAGCAACACAAGGGAGGGGATGTAGGTGAAGTGGTGTAGGCAATAGAGTAATAGGTACATTCAAGTTGATGTCCAGATAACTGTAAAGAATTAATAGACAATATATTTTTGGTTTGAATTCTGCAGATTATATCCAAGAAGCTTTATGCTAAAGTATATATTTCTGTAAAATGTGTGAGTAGAATAATGGTCATCAGCATGGAAAGTGGAATTAGTGAGTAGAATTCAAATTCTGGGTTAGTCTAAGCAAAAAAACTACTTTAAATTCAAATCCATGGAGAAGGTAATGAAAAACAATTTCACCATTTTACTAATGAATTCTGTGCATTACTGTCTTCGTTCAAAATGAATATGGCATTAAAAAAAAAAAAAAAAAAACAACAAATAAAAAATCTTTGTATTCTGCAAAAATTTAAATGACTCGAAATTAACATAATATCAAAGGAAAAAAAAAAGAGAAAGGAAAAAAAAGAAAGGAAAAAAAAGAAAGGAAAAAAAAGAAAAGATCTGCAAAATTTAGAAAAAAAAGTTTTGTTTGTTGTTTTTTTTGCACTTGGAATAATAGTCAAGGAAATAATAAAAGCTCTTCATATTCAAATATATTTCAGTAAATCTTGATTGAAAACTATTTCTTGCAGAATGTCTAGATGACTAATATATTTTATTTTATGTACAAGAAATATTTGAAGAATTGCTTTCAAATCCACTCCATGTTTTCCCCAAGAAAAAACTTATTTGTCATGCCATTCTCCATGAATTTCATAAAAGAAATAATGTTGCAGCAAAATCTATAGGTAAATGACCTAGTGAATTAATGTGTTGGTTTGTGTATTTGGTGACATAGCGTTTACAAGTTCAATCCCAGGTTCAGGCAGTGTGTACTTAGGGGAAACACGCAAGCAAAAACTGAACAGTACTAAATAAAAATAAAAACTAGACAATATCCTTAAACATGAGCAAGGGAGTGAGAACAATCCAACCCTGTAGATTAAATATAGGGTTCAGTTCAGAATTTGATGAAGGTTACCCAAATTGATACATACACTGGATTGCTCAACAGTAAAGATGAGGACAATAGTCCAAATATAAATAGTGTAAACAGTTTTGACTTGTCCATAATTTTTTTACCTCTTCCCACCTAAGGCTTGAAATTGATAACACTAAACAATTCCAATATATAAAAGATTTAACGTAAAAGTTCTTTTTAAGCAAAGAAATAACAAAACTAACTGGGATGAGGTGCAACTTTAAAATATAATTAAGGAAAAATATGTGGTACAATAGTTTGTACTGAAGAAGCATTATTAAGATTCTTGTTTGACAGACTTAATAAAAAGATACTTTATTGGCCATGCTGGTGAATGTCAGACAAAATTGGAGATTAAAGCAAAAAAACAAAGTGATAAAAAAGTATTTTAATAAAGAATTTAAAATATTTGTGTGTGTAGTGTAAATAAAAATACAATTTATTTAAAATTGTAAAGGCAAAAAATCATGACATGAGATATTTGTGTTTGAAATTCTAAGTAAAAACACTAAAACAGAAGTCACTTATTCTTGAACAGAACTTTCTTGAACGGAACTGTCTTCTAGATTGACAGCATAACAGAAATATTCAGTGAACTATTGTTACAAATTTTATTCTCCATATCTGACACATGCTGATTCATTTTTTGTGTACAGTGCATTATAATGCATTTCAAATATTCTTTTCTCTTTTATATGCACGAGAAACTGTTAGACTAAGAATCTACAAGGAAATACAAAATTAAAATGATTTAACTTAAAATAACAACAGCCAGCTTTATGTTAAAAATAAGATAGTTATAAAGTGTGCCAGGAAAATGAGCTACAAGCACAAAGATACTAGAACATTCCACAACCTAGTTTACCCAGAATTAAGTTATAAAGATATTTTGATGTTTCTTTACAATTGTTTAGCAACTGTATTGCTTTGTATTCAGGTTAAACCAATGAGATTAGTTTTTGTTGAAGAAGAAAATGAATGTATAAACAAAATGGTAGCAAGTTGCACTATTTCTGTATTGTTTAAACAGTACAATCACCAAATGAAATATACTAAAATAAAATCAGAATAAAGTTACACAACCACTTTTATATCTAGTAACACTGGGTCAGGATGACTGTTCACTATTACTTATCTTTCTTTTGTTTGCATGGTTATTAATTCTTTTCAAACTCAATATTTCAATTTTTTTTTTTTTCAGTTGAGTGAATATTTATTGAAGCAGTCTTTCATTTAGGATTGCTTACTTTAAAAATATTGATGGAAAGAAAAGAAAAAAATTGTCATAAGATATATTCTTATAATGAAGAATTTATGTAGAGTGTAAAATAATACAAAAACTACCAAAGCTGAACTAATATTAAACAACCGTATACAACACTGATTCAATTTGTTCAGTTCCGCAACAGCAATAAAAGCATCATAAAATTTGTCAATTTTTTAAAAACTTTTCTTAAAGATAGAGAGGGTGGGAGAGCGAGAGCGAGAGGAAAAAGAAGGAGAGCGAGAGGAAAAAGAAGGAGAGCGAGAGGAAAAAGAAGGAGAGCGAGAGAGAGAGAAAAAGAAGGAGAGCGAGAGAGAGAGAGAGAGAGGAAAAGAAGAGAGAGAGAGAGAGAGAAAAAAGAAAAGAGAGAGATAGAGAAAAAGAGAGAGAGAAAGAGAGATAGAGAAAGAGAGATAGAGAAAGAGAGAGAGAAAGAAGATAGAGAAAGAGAAAGAGAGAGATAGAGAAAGATATAGAGAAAGAGAGATAGAGAAAGAGAGATAGAGAAAGAGAGATAGAGAAAGAGAGATAGAGAAAGAGAGATAGAGAAAGAGAGATAGAGAAAGAGAGATAGAGAAAGAGAGATAGAGAAAGAGAGATAGAGAAAGAGAGATAGAGAAAGAGAGATAGAGAAAGAGAGATAGAGAGAGAGAGAGAAAGAGAGATAGAGAAAGAGAGATAGAGAAAGAGATAGAGAAAGATAGAAAAGAGAGATAGAGAAAGAGAGAGAGAAAGAGACAGAGAAAGAGAGATAGAGAAAGAGAGATAGAGAAAGAGAGATAGAGAAAGAGAGATAGAGAAAGAGAGATAGAGAAAGAGAGATAGAGAAAGAGAGATAGAGAAAGAGAGATAGAGAGAGAGACTTTTTCTCTATGTATTTTTCTGGTAGTTAGTTGGTAGTTAAAGTTAATATATTGCTGGCACCTACACATAAAAAAATGCCAGGTTTTATTCTAGATTCTGTTATTCTTTTAATACTAAATATAATGTCACTTGACTATATTTTTTTTATAAGTAAAATAAAAAAATGTTTTGGCCGTTTCTTTTTTATGTTTTTATTTGGAATATTAGTCAAGGAAATATTAAAAGCCCTTTATATTAAAATATATTTCAGTTAATCTTGATTGAGAACTATTTCTTGCAGAGTGTCTAGATGATTAATGCATATTTAATTAATGCGCTTTTGATTAGTGCGCTAAAATTTTTAATACCAAAATTTGATTTTTTTTCTGTCTTTTTATGTGCTGTGTCCTTTCAGGATGTAGGCGATCATGGCTCTCCACTTCCCCTTATCCCTTGTAGCTATCAATAAATTTTATCCTTCTGCCACCTCCCCCAGACCACGTTCTGTCACCCACTTGCTTAAGCCCACCAGGTATTTCATGCATTGCTTTCCCTTGTCATTCTTTCGCGCTATTCGACCTGTGAGTATCAGGTTCTCCAAGCCCTCCTTTCTCATTATGTGTCCCAGAAACTTCAGCTGCCTTTTCCTGATGTCGAGTATAAGACTACTTGTTTGCATCCTCTTCAAGACCTCATCGTTGCTCACATACTCAGTTCATGATATCCTCAGCATCCTTCTGCAGAACCACATCTCCATTGCCTCGAGTCTCTTCTTCATTTTTGAGGAGACCGTCCAACATTCGCAGCTGTAAAGGAGAATAGATGTCATAACAGATCAGTACTCTTTACTTTGTTACCAAAGAGATCCTCCTGTCTTGCAATACTCTGCCCAGCTTTTGGAATGCATCCTTGGCCATTCCAATATGTCTACAGATCTCAGTGTTGCACTTGCTGTCCTCTTCCCAGATATTTAAACTTCTGCACCTGCTCGATTTTAATGTCACCAACCTACAAATCTCATTTCAGGCTCATCCTTTTACAGATCACCATACATTCTGTCTTGTAGTTTATGTTTTTTTATGCAAAAAAATGATTTAATTAAATACAGAAATTTACATTTATTAAAAAACATCAAAATATAAACATGTATGAATTTACTATGGAAAGATTATAAATAAAATTTTCAAGTTAAAATACTAATATGTTTGGAAAATTTCCAAAAATAGCAAATATACATAACATAGGGTTATTTTAAAAAAAAGTTAAATTAAAACTATTAGACTGGTCACCAGTCACCTCATTTAAACCTTATTGAAAATAGAATTTAATAAAAAGAAAAATGGAAGGCAAAGCTTTTAAAAATATTGATGAATTAAAAGAAGAAATTATAGATATTTGGAATATCATCAATAAACATTTAATTTCTAAGTTAATTATATGAAGAACAGTAAAATGGGATGTAGCAAATATATGTAAATAAATTATAATTATGTAAATAAGTTTTTCATAAAAAATCAGATTAATAGATATTTATAGGTAAAAATCCCACAACTCAGATAATTCCTTCCAGTCAGTACCGAATAAGTTTGTAGTATTTAATTAAATCAACATGGTTCTAATTTCTTGTCACAATTATCATGTACTAGCAGTAGAGCCCGGTGTTGCCTGGGGATGTAACAGTAAGAGATAGATCAAGTATCGACTATCATAAAGACTGAAAAATAAAATTGACAAAGATTATTGATTAAGGTTGACGTACACGCATGTCTTAATTAGTTTTTTTTTTTTTTTTTTTTTACGAATTGGTCAAACCCAAATTCAAACAAAAACATTGTTTACAATCATTATGAGTCTATCGATTGGTGAATAGAATTTTATTATAAACAATTGTCTTGTAAATGGAATTTTTAAAGCATTCTGAATGTAAATAAAGAAAAAAGTGTGCAAGACAATAAGAAATACTACCTGCCGAAAAAAAAAAGTGGATGTTTGTTTTATCGGCTCAAAAATGTAAGAAATCCGATCCCATACATAAAGGAACACACACACACACACAAACAACCTGGGTTTTTTAACCTAAGTCACTCCACGGAATCGCTAAAACAGAGCATAGTCTGATGGAAAAGATGCTAAAGTTTATGAAAACAAAATTTTATCGTCAAAATGCTTATGTTTTTATGAAGAGGATAGACTAAATTTTTTTTTAATTATTTTTTAAAATTTTTTCCATCTTTTTAGAATATTCTAAATTTTGATTTAAAAAACCTTGTTTCTCTTTGTCGCAACAACAGGTAGTAAATAACAGATAATTTTTAGCGCATTTTTTTGTATTTACACACATTAATTTGGAAAATCTTGCAAAAATAAAAATAATTGTCAGATGTTAATGAAACTTTCAGAAACTATTCACAGATGATCGAAATTATTATAAATATTTTTTTTTTTTTTTAGTAAAGTCATGGCAGAAATATTTTTTTTATATTTATTAACACCCCATAACTAATTTTATGAAAAACTCTAGAAATTGAGACCATTGGTTTTAGTGATTACAATAGTTAAAAAGCACAAGGCTTTGAAGAATGCAAATCATGTTTTGTTTTTTTGGCCAACGTACCTGAAAATCAGCTGTGAATTGTAACATACAAAACTCAATAAAACAAATATATTATTTAGTTTCAACAAATGCTTTTATTTGTTTTAATTTGTTTTTATGAATATGGACAATATTTTCTGAAAGCAAAAAATTTTTTCAATGAAAATTGAATTTTTAATACAATTATTTCTTATTTCTTTAATTTTAAAAAGATTTTTAAAAAATGTTTAAATTGAATTTTAAAAATATTTTTTAACATTAGTTAAAAGCAACATCAACCTTTCAAAATGTCCGTGTGATATTGTCATTGTCTAGCTTTGAAAATTGTATAATTTGGACCAATCAGATTAGCCATGGTAATTAAGAAATGTAATTTTTTGTGTTTATAGTCGGACAGTAATTATCAAGTACGGAAGACCAACCATAATACAATTTAGTTGCATTATTTGAGTTCAGCATTGTTCTCTGCTGTTAAGCCCTTTACTTTTGTGAAACACGTATGGAGAAGTTAATTTGAGTTTTCAAAATATTTTAAATAAACAGTATAATTTCTGTTTTTATTAAAATCAGTTTTGAAAAAATGATAATTGATTTTTAAAAGAATATCAAAATCAGATTTTAATCTTTTTTATCAAATCGAAAAAAATGATTGAAAATGATTATCTGCCCTTTTTTGACAAAAAAAAAAAAAAAAAAACAATATTTTTAACGAAAATTTCAGACATGCTAGGAACGATTAAAAAATGTAAAAAAATACCCCCAAAATACTTTGATCTTTCCTCTTTAATAATAATATGAACATTAGACGATAAAATTTTGTTTTTGTCAAGTCCGGCTTTTTTTTCATCATGCTATGCTCTTTTGTTTACATTTTCGTGGGTGAGTTCTCCCCCTTTCATTCTCACGATGCGTCTTAATCGTGTTTTCAAATTGATTTTATTAAAAAACAACTATATTTTTCCCCATTTTCGGCCTCGTTAGAACTACCACAAGGTAATTTTATGTAGTCCTGTGAAGTTTTGTTGAAATCAGCTAAAAAATGTAGGAAATTCGATCCAACATATAAACGTTACACACACACACACACAACCTGCGTTTTATAATAAGTAAGATGCTGAAGTAAAAAGTACTTTCCACCTACTTCATATGAGTTTTGATTCCTCATCACCACTGTTGTAATTTCATTAGAAACATTTCCGACTGACTCCAATAGACTTCTACCAACTCACTTTGAGTTCTTGCCTAGCTCATTTGTGTTACCAGGGCTGTCTTATTTACTCCACAACATGTATGTATGCACAAACTTTGTTTTAACAAATTATTTAAAATAATTTGGGATGGTGGATATTTAACAAAAAAAAAAAAAAAAAAAAAAAAAAAAAAATGAATATTTAAAAATTATAAATTTTTCAAAGACACAGTGAAACCAGTGAATTCCAGTTATATAAATACAAATTCACATCCTATTACTATTATTGAATTGTAAATTCATTTTAAATTTTTTTTAAATTTAATTTGAAAAATAAAGGCTAACAAATAAATTTTAACAATTTTAAATTGTTAGTCATTATAAGTTTCAATGTTTGAAAAGAAAAAGAAAAGAGTTTATTGAACCAGTAAAGGAGAAAACAGAATACTTTATGAAAGTGTTGCTATGGTAACAGAATGATAAGACAACTGAGAATGTAAATTAATCTGGGACAACAACCAACCATGAAAAATTCAAATAGTAAAACGAAACAAAAGAAAATTGTTGATGACTACACTTGGACAATGTTTACAAAATTATTAACATACCAGCTTGACTAATGCAGTGATGCTTTTTATAATGTGATTATTATTTAAAACTGATTTTACATAAAATTATTTATGAAATGTAAAAAAACAGAAGTGTCACCAGTATTGGGCATGTTTTAAAGTTAATCCATTGTGTTAAGAAGAAAATTACACTGTAGAAAATGTTCATATTTTAAAGTTATATCATCCACAGAAGGAAATAAAAGTTGTTTTACATCAAACAGTTATTGAAATTTCTTACTCTTTTTAAATTCAACTCTGGAGAAAAAAATGTTAGAACCTTTTTGTATATATTCATTAACAGTAAATGAAGTATTTACAGAAATTCAGGAGAAATTGCCAAAAAGCTTTAGACTTACACATTGAGAATTAAGATATATGATATTGACGGATACTTATATAACACCTTATCAATTGTCAATGACTGAGAACTAAGATATCTTAAAATAAAATATTTAAGAATATTTTTTTTATTATTCATCATAAATAACAGAAATATTTTGGTTTCTCTTCATTTATACAGGTTTAAACTTACAGAGCAAATATTAAATACATTGAAACATTTTTCTTAATTAGTACCCCAAACTAAAATTGAAAGAGCTTGATGAAACATCAAAAAATGGTAGCAAGTTTATCTTGGTAGCTTAATTAGCAATCTAGTTGTGACCAATCAAAATTGTCAGAACTTTCAAAATTTTC